CCAGAGTTGGAAGAAGACATTGTATAAAAAGTTTATCTTGAAGAATACTACGCCGGATTTCAATGCTAAGGTGTTTGTCAAGTTGGAGTCCCATTGGGATGCCTTCGTAGAATACAAGACATCTCAAGACAGTGAGGAACGTGTGATGAGGAATCGGTAGAATGCCCGATGCGAAGCAATACCATCATCTCATGGGATCGGTGGTTATAGGAGTGCTATTCCCAAGTGGCGAGAACCTAGAAGCGAGATTACCGCAAGGGAATCATACCAAACAATAGAGAAGAGCTGGCCTCAACGCAGCGAAGAATTGGTTCTATGCTCATGGGGAAGCCTAGACCCGCACAATCGGCAAGCTAATTTTCGCCAAAAATTGAGAGAGCAACACAGAGACTAGCTCGTGCTAGGGAAGAAGTCGATAGTGGTGTTTTCAAGCCCAACAAAGAGAAGGATGAATTGACATATGCCCTAGAGAATCCTCGAACACGGTGGTCGAACAAGAGGCTATGGGCGCGGTTCCATGGCTACACGCATTCCCAGCAGACAAGGATACCTACATAAGCCGCCAGAGAAAGAAGGATGAGGAGGCAGAACGAATCCGTGCATTGGAGCAATTTGTTGATGAGTCACGACAAGCATTGCTTGAATCACGTGAACGAGAAAAATCTCTTGAGGCAAGAATGCAGGAGGAGATCAAGAGGCAAGTGCAGCTAGCAATGAGTCAAATGCAATCGCAATCAACGCCGGGAGTCACCATTAGCCCCGTTGGTCAGATGAAAAGCAGTTGTGCTTCTACGGAGCTGCCAGTTATTCAAGACGACGCTGGGTTGCGCTTCCCTATTGATGACATTACCGAGCCTCTAACAACATGTGAGCTGCACATTCTAGATGGTAATAATGCATCAATCATGGTGGTTCATGGTGGTTGTCGGGGTTGTATCTCCAATAGACCGAATGAAGACACCAAGAATCCATGGGTCAGTTATTCAACCTGGATATGCTAGCGTCTCGGTCGATAGAGTGCTCAAAGGTTACAGCAATGTTCCTCTTGACATTGAAGGCGGTGATGGGGAGAAGACACTAGGAGAAGCAGAGAAGACATTTATTCAATGGCGCAAACGCTTCATCATCATTCTTGGGGCGCCACCGCTTCCCCTACCTCACCCTAGGTACGAATGAAAGTGAATGAAATATTATTTTCCATTAATTTTCTATTGGCTTCAAAAATAATTGACACACAACTTGTTTTTGTAGCAGGATCTCCCCCCAGCCTAGCCTAATCATTCATTCCCCATCTCATCACAAATACTGTCATGGGCGAGGCGACTTCATCCCCACGGCGATCGCCAACTCCTACACCGCCCCATCGCCTCCTAACGATCTCCAACTCCTACACCGCCCCACCGCCTCCACAATGATCTCCAACGCCTCACGCCGGTCTCCACCAACACCGCCTCATCGCCTCCACGCCGGTCTCCAACACCGCCCCCCCCCTCCAGGCGGCACTTTCAAAGACGTCTAAGGTCCCGCGCACAAAGAACACCCCGAGAAAAAGATTTATTTCTCAAGAAATACTTCTTGAAAAGACTGATGAGCAAATAGCAGCTGAAGAAGACAAAAAAGTGAAAGATTTTTTTATAGATATCAAAAACAAGAGTCAAGCGAAGCTTAAGGAGAAGCCGTACTTTTACATACCACGAGATGTGCTGAGGCAGAAGGTCGATGCTCACAAGAAAAAGATGATTGAACTTCGTAAGCCTTCACCACTATCAGACTATGACTGCTCCCTCGTGAAGTCACATGATGCAGATAAGAAAAGGAAAAGAGCATCAGGGAAGGATGTCCCACAGCTCGGACAACAGAAGCAACCAATGTAAAATCTTGTTGTTGCTAATGAATATGGTTCCAACATAGAAGTCTATCGACCAGACAACTCTGGAGAAGTGTCGGTTCAAGCCCTTAATGCTTTTTTTGAAGATACTGGTTTAACCTTGGATCAATTGACGGGCAAAGCTCCAATCCAGAACCTAGAAGTTGATACCTAGAAGACTTATAAATATGGCAAAAGTCTGTACAACCCTGTGGCTCTGAATGAATTGAGTACGCAAATATACTTGCTCAATAAGTGGTACATGCAGGCGTGTTGCAGGGGTGAGGAGTGGATCTTTGTCAGATTTAGAGACCATCATTACTTTCGTGGCGATGACATCTTACATATTAGTTTCGAAGAATTGCATCAACTATGCCACATGGACGCTCTGGACAAATCAATCATTAGCTCCTTTTGTTTGTAAGTGATTCTTACTTTTATTTAATAAACTCACTTCCATGCGTACGTGTATATAATTATCCTCACATGTAACTTATATTTATATACAGATTCTAGATGTCAGAGCTCCAAAGAATACAAGACACCAGTGTTGGCTTCATTGATCCTTATATCGTATTAAAAACCGATAGTATTCCCAAGGAGCAGTGGGTATCTGAAGCACAGAAGAATATCATGAGGTTCTTCGTGAAGTAGCATGACAAGACAACAATACTTTTCCCGTACAGCTTTGAGTAAGTGTTAATAATAATGTAGTCTACACATTTTATGTAATATCAATACAACTTATATGCATGTACGTGTGTGTATAAACCAATGTAGGTTTCACTGGATACTCATTGTCATTGAGTTAAACTCAAGTCGGTTAGTAATCTTGGACTCGAAGAGAAAAGAGCGGACACTATACCAAGATATGATAGACATTATCCAGGGGTAATTTCGATCTCTCGCGCACAACTATTATTGAATAGACTTTGTCATAATTTATTAACGATCGTAAATTATTGGTCGCACAGGGTTTGGAAAGAGTTTATTCGGCAACACCGCAAGGATTGCAAGGCACCACTTAATGTAGTTGAAATACCAGTAAGTTGTACTATATATACTTCCCCATGTGTTTAATTACTATATCGTATTTCAATTTACGTGTGAGATGATGAGAATAATCTTCTTCTCAGATGCAGGTGGTGTTTATGGCAAACTGTGTAATAACTTGTGTGGATACTATGTTTGTGAATTTATCACTGCACACATAAGAAGAACTCCTAAAGATGTCCTCAGAGTACGTATATATCAAATTTTTAATTTATTTTTAAATGAATATATATATATATATGTATGTATTAATACTTTTCCTTTTATTTCAAATGCAAGACTGAACGGTTGAAACAAAGGGTCATGCAAAAAGACCATCTGAAAGCAGTTCAAGAGTCAATAACAGGATTTCTTCTAGAAAAAGTGCTAAATCCCAACAGCGAGTTCTACTTTGATCCTAAGAAATAAATGGTGTAAATTAAATGTTTATTGATATCGTTATTTTCGAGAACAAGATTATGAAAGTGTTGTATATATACATATATATACATACATATATATATATATATATATATATATATGTTCATACTTTATTCGAATATAATAATGCTCGAGATGAGAATTAGATGTAATTATATGCGTGCATGTATTTATATTAGCAGCGTAGAATACGTACATAAAAACATATTATATATTAAACAAATACGTGTAACTGAACTGAAAACAAATTAAACAAAAAAAAAGAAAAAGAAAAGGAACCTTTAGTCCCGGTTGGGGTTACCAATCGGGACTAAAGGGTGCGGCCACGTTTGCTCGGCTGGAGGACCTTTAGTCCCGGCTCGATGACCCGGGATTAAAGGTGGCACCTTTAGTCCCGGGATCATTGTCCCGGCGCGGTAACTGGGACTAAAGGCCGTTACCGTCCGGGACAACAAGTCCATTCTGTAGTAGTGCATGCATATATATACAACGTCCAGATCTACTTTTACAACATCCAGATGAAACACTTGTAGCATATGTCTGAAATAGATGAAACAGTCGGAACATACAATTGAAATATACATGTATAGCCATTGCAACATGTGCAAAATCTCGATCTATTTTTTGCAATACCGATATAAAACACTTGCAACATACCTCTAAAACATCTAAAACACTTGAAACTTACGTTTGCAACACGTGCTTTCAGCGTAATATCTCCTTGTTGTTTGGGAATGGAGGCTCGTCGGCGCATGGAGCTCACCAGTGTAGAGCTCACCGCTCCAATGGAGAAGGACGCGACAAGTCCGGTGCAGAAGGCCGCGGCGGGTCCACGCGCTCTAGATGGCCACGGCGTGTGAGAGGCGTGGTGGAGAGGGAGGAAGACGGGCTGCTGCGCTCTGGCGCGGTGGAGATACCGGCTGGCGGAGCGGAGGGGCGGTGGAGAGTGCGGTCACCGAGGCGGTGTGGGTGTGCGGCAGAGCATGGTCGCCAAGGCCGCGCGGGCATGCGGCGGTGCTTCGTGAGGTGAGTTTTTTTAATGGTTGGGGCAAGTGCGAGTGGATGAGCCAATAAGAATTACCGTCGGGGGTGGTCTTTGGGCTAGCATAGGTGGTCCACCATCGGGAGCGTCCATCCGCCGGACATCCTACCCCCCTCGAATTACCGTATAGAAATTTATTCAACTTGATTTGGTTGTACGCGCTACATGGTACACGTATCTTTTCTTTTTGCCAATAGGAAGACAGTTCTACGTCCTGTTCGTTTGGGTTTGTTTGGCTTATAAGCCATGGCTGAAAATACTATAGGCTGGTTTGGTGTGAGAGAAAATATTATTCGTTGGCTGATAAGCCATGGTTTATAAGCCAATTACGACCAAGTAAACAGGCTGCTAATTTGTATAAACACTTGCCATAGCGGAACACACGTGAATGTAACACTTTGTTTCCTATATGAGTACACTGTATATATTCCACGTATGCATCTCATGACACACAAGAACAAGTATCTAGAATTCTCAAAGTCGCAAGTAGTAATGATTTTGAAACCTCAAAAAGACCGTAAAAAATAGACGTTGCAAGTTAAAATTTCAATCACGCGATTGAAGATCAAAATACTGAACCCTATTACGAGGGATTGTTCATTGTCTCGGCGTGTGGCCTCAGTGGAACTGAGCGATGGTACGGTAATCGGCATTGCCCCTCCAGTTGACCGGGATGACGTCGTAGGCCACAAGAGTCTTGCCACAGTCGCTGCGGACGCGCAGCGAGAGGGGCGCCTTCAGCGGGTGGCCGGGGTCTATCCTCCAGACGGCGCCCCACGACTCGTAGAGCGGCCTCCATGTCTGCGAGTTGGCCTCCTTGAGGTCCACCTGCACCACGGCGCCATCGCTGCCCGCGTAGTACACGATCACCGCAAAGTAGAATGGGTTGCAGCCTCCCATCACGTGGAACCTCACGTTCAAGCCCCTGGGCACCCTGCGTGGCCGGATACGACGACGAGGTCAGGTCGATGCATATATATGAGATGAATCTTCACGTTGGCAACAATATATTATACTAGCCGCCAAATTAAAACTGTTGCGGACCTCCTGTACTGGATGCTGAGGGCGCCGGCATCGCGGAGCTTGCCGTTGAGGCCAGGCTTATCCATGGCGCCGAACGCCGTGCCGCTGAGGTCGAAACGGTTGGGGCCGAGACTGGTGTCGTAGTTCACGTCGGTGACGATAACCGTCTGGGGCACGCCAGAGCAGGCAGGGTTGTTCCTGCTGACGCATTTTATCTGAGAAGCAGCAGACCAAACAGAGGATCAAGACATGTCCATGTTGCGGTTCACCCAGCCTCCGGACGCTGAACGCGACGATCGGCAGGGATGTGCGCACTCACACACACAACGCTCGACCAAGCAAACAAGGACCGCTAGGTTTCATGTAGTACCTGGTAGCATGCGCCGCAGCCCTTGCCGTCGTTGAACAACTTGTGGTCGCCGCAGGACGTCATGGAATTGAAAGGGTACAGGTTGGTGCCGCTGTACCCACACCCGCCACCTGCAAAACCATATCGATCAGCACCGCGACACAACGTCAGGGCTGAAAACACAAGGAACACGACAGCATTGGCACGCGCAAGGCGCACACACACACCGTTGTTGTCAGGGCCGGCCGTACCAGGTGGCCATGGCAGGGAGCCAGCTGCCGCCGGTGGTGCTGGAGTAGTACAACTCTCTGCGGGCGGAGGAGGCGTTGTTGTAGCTCGGCTGCGCGCGAGTGCCATGCGTGTCGAACACGGAGACGAGGGCAACGAGTGCGGCCACCTTGATGCAGATCGCGGCGGCCATCTCAGCTCAAGGTCGTGTTGGGTTTTTGTCGGAGCGGGGAGAGGCCGGCATATCGCATATATAGACAGGCAAAAAGGGGCGACACATTCAGTATTTTCTAAACACATCAGGTCTTTGAAACTCTTTGCACCCGATGTGGTGCCGTGTTATTCATCGTGTCCACCTGACTGCTGTGCAGCTAAAAGATGTGCCACCACGTAGCTAGTTACGGCCTAAACTTGTTTTGATTTCAGGAAAACAAATGTCGCGTTACAATTAATACTGTTTTGACATTTATATATGTGCATTCTCGCCGAATCATTGTCCCTTTAAGAATGTTACATGGTTGTTGCAACAAACTACAGCTGCAACGTGGCAGAAAAAGTCCATATATATGAAAGCTTTATTAGATCATGCAAGGCACAACTCTGGGCTGACTTTTGATATATGTTTGCCTTGCATACTGATCCTCAGGGGAGTGGGAAAACGTAGAAATAGGGTGGCAAAATGTAGAGAAAGACAAAAAAGAGAGAGCATAATTGTAATAGGAATAATGTGCAAGTGCAAAGTATTGAACTATAGAACACCCCCAGGAATCAGTTTCGATGGAAAAGCATACAAAGCGGGGATTACAGATAGTAGACACAACAAGTGATCAACAACGTTATTTGCATTACTCAAAAAAAAAACAACGTTATTTGCATATGAATTTGGCGATACAAGATAGTAGACACAATTTATTGCATTGACAAATAGAGGACTAATTGCAATAAGGCATTATATAGTGACAAAGGCCTCAATTTGACATAGTCGCTTGCATTCTCCTGAATTTATTTTAGTAAAAAAAAGTGATATTCTTTCAGTGATAAACAATATATATGTCCATTAACAACAAGACACTTGTTGTGATTTTGTCAATATAAGATCTACTAGCTTAGTCTATTGAACTTGCTCATAGGGATAGGATATCCGTACATGTGTTCATAGGAGTAACTATACATGCGTGCATATGAGTGCATGTATAAAGCATCTTAGAGGCTTTTCATATAGAAATTTTATTTTTTTAGAGTTTTATTAGGTCTCATGCCCCGGCCTTTTAACTAAAGTCAAAAGACCAAATGTTCATTACAGCGCAAGAAAAACCTCCAGAAGAACTCAAAGTGATCAACCCAAAACTAACACCTCGCCCCTCAACAAGACTAAGCCTGACACAGACCACTCCCCAACTCATTCTATCCCTCTTCAATCAGAACAAAAGCCTTCACATCAACTCCTCGAGTTGTTAACGGATTTCCACCAGAAGCATGAAGAATTTGCCCACGGTACATCATCCTCTTCATCACCAACTCCACTGCAGACTTGTTCTTCTCTGGCCGCATCAAGTTGAAGCTTCTGAATGCCCAAGGTTTAGTTGGGCAGCCATAAGAACTCCACATAGGAATTCTAGAGATCCAATCCCTTTTCCAAAGGACTATATGTTTTCCCCCATGATATTCAAATCCCCTAAGTTGTAATTCTTTTTTCTGTGGTCTCACAGACACACTTTGATTGGACCACAATAAACTCTACAACTAATGTTTTACTTTATCACTGGAGCAAAGATTTTTGCCTTTTTTCTCTGATCTGGGAGACACACTTTCATTGGACCACAATAAACCCTACAATTCATGTTCTACTTTATCACTACAACAAAGATTTTTGGATCGTGTCAACTTCTATGATCTTCACACTGACCACTGTTCTTCATTTTTTAAGATCCGAAACTTATTGTTTCAGCATATACATTAATAATAAGAACAAAATTGACCTAGTTTATAAGGGAAACTGGGTCCAAAAACCATAGAACCACTAACTACACGATGCAACACTACTTACAACTACAAACGGGAGACAGAGGCTATCAAGTGTCGTCGTTGCCATGCTTTCCACACTACTACAGAAATGAGATCTAGTCCCGGTTGGGAACTAGCTCTACTCCCGGTTTCCCAACCGGGACTAGCAATCCGGGACTAAAGATGTTGTTCTTTAGTCCCGGTTTGCCACAACCGGGACTAAAGATCCTCCCAGCTTTAAAAAAAAATAATGCCTCCCACCGCTGCGCCCCGTGAGATTCGAAACTAAGACCTCATGCACTGCCTCGCGCATAGCTTACCACCCCACCTACACAACACATCTAACAATGGATGTGATGCTTTCCTTTTGAACTAACCCATCGGGGGACCTTTAGTCCAGGTTGGTGTTACCAACCGGGACTAAAGGGTCTACCTTTAGTCCGGGTTGGTATTACCAACCGGGACTAAAGGTTGGAGGACTTTTAGTCCCGGTTGGTGGCTCCAACCGGGAGTAAAGACACCAATCGGGACTAAAGGCCTCTCTAGTCCTGAGGGCAAAAAATACCGAGGCTAAAGCCAAATTGGGACATCGTTCTAAAGTCTGTTCTCTAGTAGTGCCACTTGCGACATAATAGGTCCGACTTCACATGATGGATCTCAGCCATGTTTTAAGCTACAAGACAAAGGCTCGTTAAAGAACCAAGATGCCACCAAGTCCAAAAGCGGTTAGAGAAGATGAAGTCTATCACCAAGATTATCCTTGTCGACCATTACCAACAAACAAAAACATGGATTTGAGTCATCATTGCCAAGCTTACCGACGCATAAACATAGCAAATTTGTCTTCCCATAGGTCACAAAAGATGTCCTAAAAACAATGCTAGATTTCCACGATGATACCTTCAAGAAGGTCACGAAGTCAATGGTGCCACCGTTGCAGGCCTGCGAATGGGTAGGGTTTCAACTCAAAGAAAACAAGCAAGCTAGGGCGGAGTGGACACCTCCAAGGAGAAAGCAGTGCCCGCAGGCATCACCGTATAGGCTTTTGCCCTAACCTCAACCTACCTAACCCCATTGAAGAAATTGGGCATGACCTTGTCAGTATAGAGTTGAGGACACAACAACAGCCAAAACTGCATCCCTAATAGCATAGCAAGTGCATCACGTGGAAGCAACAGAGAAACCAATGAACACAACAAAGTTGATGAACATGCATCTAGCCTAGTTGGAAATGTCCACCGCAGGCAAGATCCAAGCCGGCTAGCTCCAGATCCACCATTTCTCATGACAAGAGAAGCACAGGAGGACGCGCCACACCCTAGAGGCAACCCCCTCCATTGCTTGTAGTAGCCATGGCACCTCCGAACCCATGCACAAAAACTCCCACTCCACCTGCTCACCCACACATTGGGGTCATTGGACATGCTCTCCTCTCACACACTAGCCATTGTGTTATCACCTCACCATCCCATGGCTACAACCCCGTCAGAGGGCATAGCAGCCCAATGATGCTCAAAGAGACGAGGCTAGCCTCGAGAAGAATGGTGCCCTCTAGTCTAGAGGGAGGATGATGCCCCAAAGAAACTATCTAGCACCGGATCTAGATCTTCTATTGGCGCTCCGCCTGCAGGCCTCGGATCTAGCGAGTCGCTCACCAAAGCTGTGAGGCCATGCCTATAGCCACTGTATGTTGATGACGCACAAGTAGCCACCAACATGGAGCTCTTAGCCACCACCTCATGGAAGAAAGTTCCCTGCCACCATCCTTGCGGGTGCATGGCATTCGGTGTTAGCTAATCTACTGCCACCTTGTGTGAACACAGCAGAGGAAGACGGCGCCGACTTTGCCCCCTGCTATGATACTGTAGCCGCTGCAGGTGCAGGCGCCGCACGGCTCACCTGCAGCACTGTAGGCACATGCAGTGGCCGGCGGCAGAGTCAGCCCTGTATGCTTATCTAGTTACTGTTACAGCATGTGCACTGTACTTTAGTTAGATAGATAGAGTTGTATAAATAGGGCACCAAGGCAACTCAGTAAAGAGAGCTCAGATTTGCCATCACACAGACAGGGCCTCGGCCAACGTTGTTGTCTTGTATTGTGCATGCTTGCTCTGTTCTCCCTTCTTCTTCTAGCTCGATCCATAGTGTGTGGGTACGGACAAAACCGGTACGGTGGTCTAGGAGACTAGTGATCTGGAGGCTAGGGGTCTGAGAATAGTGGTCTGGGAGACTAGTGGTCTGGGAGGCTAGTGGTCTTGGAGGCCAGGTGTGGCAGAACCTCCTAAATTATAGGACCCACATACATTTGTCACTGTCCAAAGACCTTTGACAACAATGCATATGTTCCTAGTAACTTAAGAAGTCTGTTGGGTGTCCTCGGGGAACCCTGAATCATTCACGATTTCCGAGCAGGACCACATTACAGAGTCATTGTAGTATTACAACAGTTTATTCAAATAGACACATCAGAGTAAAAGTAGCGGAAGACTTACAATAACATAGTTTACAAACCATTTGTTTCAAACCGTACAACTAAGTTCGATATTAATACAAACCAAAGTAGTGGAGCGGCATTATAATATAATACAAAACACACAATGAGGCTGCCCTGCCCAAGGGCCACACAATTACTTCTCAACGTCATCACAAGGTACAACTGTCATGCAGCACGATCCAAAACAGATCTGCTCATGAGGCTCACCTGCAACAAGGGTCAACGAACCCTGAGTATAAAAGTACTCAACAAGACTTAACCGAAATAAGAATTGATAACTCAGGAATGCAGGCTCAGGGATTCAAGGTATGGTTTTAGCAATAATCAAAGTTATTTTGCGTAAAAGCTCTTTGACAAAATTCTTTGTTTCAACAGTTTAAACTTCATAAAATCATATACAAAGATGACACGATCCGTAATGAGATCATGAAACTTCATATCCAACACCTTCATCAACCATTCTCAAGTTCCAGTTATTAATACTACGATGATGAACAGTGAGTTGAGTCTCCATAACCGAGGAGCAATGACGATTCGAACCGATTATAAACCCAGCTGGGGATTCCAGACCACACGACATATGTAGGTCCCTGACCTACATATACCAACCTATTCTCGGATCCTCTAAAATAAGAATGGGTCCGCGCCACCCGAGAATACAGTACTCCACCAATCCAGCCCATTGCCACGTGGGT